CTGTTCGGGCCGCAGCTGAAGAACGAGACCATCTGGTACGTGCGCTTCCTTTGGGAGTGAGCAGTCTCTGGGAGCCGGCGCCTGAACAGAGACCCCCTGCCAAAATTGTCACCGTGAGTGGGCAGAGGGCTGGGGTGGCAGAGATGTCCCTGCTTGCCTGGCTGGGGAGGGAGCTGCAGCCTGGTCCTTGCTGGGTGGGAGATGCTTTGGCTTCTGTGCATTGTGGCTGTGCTGAGGTGGTCTCACTGTGGGGCTGCTGGCTCTGCACTGGGCCTGAGCAAACCGAGCACTTCCCCCTGAGCCTGTGGTTCTCTAGATTTGTGGGGCCTCCCTCGTGGGTGCAGTTTGGTGCTAACTTCTCCTTTCTCCCTCCCCCAGCTTTTACTGCTGTTCCAGCCTCTACCCTCCCATACCAGGCAGACCCCAGAGGTGCTGGGACAGAGGCTGGACCCGCTGCCCCACCGCACCCTGAGCACTGCAACCTGGACCAATGATGGCTGGGCCCCTGAGCATGGCAGACAGCACCCCTGCCTGGGATGAGGGCCTAGTAAGCCTGGCCCTGGGAGCAGCCACGCTACCAGGGAGAGATCCCTTCAGCTGGCCGAGTGTTGCAGTCACTGACACTGACCACTATCCTGAGAGAGATCTGTGTGTAGTGCCAGCGGATCCTGGCCCTGCAGTGCTCACCCTGCTCCTTCCAGTGTGCTCAGCCCTAGCCCCCTTGGTGAAACCCTTGCTTGTAGCCCAAGCTGCCCAACTAATTACCATATCCCTGGTCATTTCAGGCAATGGCTGCCCCTCTGCATGAGAAGGCAGGAGCCCATAGTATCCTCTGTTGTATGGTCAGTCCCCTATGGTGAGAGTGGTCCTTACTAAGACAGATTCTGGCTGTGGGTGTGAGAAGGGAGGGCTGACCCTGGGGGAGCATGTGGACCCCCTTGGGTGTGAATGAGGGAGGTGCTGAGGTGCAGGGCAGGGGGTTCTGCTGCTTGGCAGCCTGCTGGAAGGGAATAAAGGGGTGCTATGTCTCCTCCCGCCTCAGCAGTGAGGGTGCTGCAGTAGTGTCTAGGTACCACCACCACTCCAAACTGTGTCCAGGTTCTGAGAAGAACCAAGTAGGGAATTGTGTTTTAGGTTTCCCCTTATTTATCAGATAATTTATTTGTATTTATTTATTTGTCTGTGTTTGAATTTGTGTTGTGGAAATAAATCCTTTTTCTAGTAAGTGATGCTGGAGGCCGAGTCACTTGCTGCTTTGAGGCTGAGGAACAGTCTTGGCTTTATTCAGACTTCTTCCCTTCCCCCTAACCCTGCTGTTGAGAACACCTGCACCATGAGAACAAGGCTGGGATCCTCAGCTGTTGAGCAGAGGTTGGCAGCATACTGGTGCATGGCAAGTTTTATCCTTGATGCCACCTGTGCCACTCGTCCTTGTGGGACCAGGGTCACAGGTAGGCAACAGCATGTGCTACAGGGTGAACTGGGTACCTGCCCAGCCTCTCTGATGGTAGGCAGCTGTACTGGAGCCATCCCCACAGCTGTGCAGCAGCTGGAGAAGTTTAGTGCCCTCTTTCCCAGGCTATGGTGGGGAATAAGGTAAAAAGGAGGGAGCAACATCTTCCTTGTCTTAGGAGAAGAGAGGGGAGCAGCAAAGGATGCTGTCTCTAAGGATCACAACAGTTCAGTTTGATCAGAGCTGCACTTGCTGCTATCAGCTCAGCAGTTGAGCTCAGCTGTCCTGCTGGAATCACAGAGAACATCTGCTGACAAGAAAGCAACTCCATCATCCCAGTGCAGTGGCACAGAGCAACGCTGTGTGGATGTGTGCTGGCCCCCAGTCATGCTGCCAGCCCAGAGCTGTTGCTGCTGGGGGGTACCCGCTAGAAAACAAGACCAGTGCTGGAGGCTCAAGGGGTTTGTTTATTGCTACAAGAATGGGAACAGCTGAGTTCAAGTAAAAGTGATTAATTTCATTGGGTCATCAGGGGCTCCAGCCCCAGGGGAGGAAGACTTGTGCCTGTGCACGAAGCCGCAGCTCAGCCCTGCCCTGGGGCAGCGAGCTGGAGTGAGGTGGTTCGCCCGTGGGCAGGCCCAGCCTGCGCTCATGGGGGAGAGAACCACTGGTCCTGGTGCTAGTGCCCGATTAACGTGTGGGACGCCACGGGGCAGATGTGCCCAGGAGGGAATGTATGAAAGGAAACATGGCCCACTTTGGGGGTGCCTTGAGCCCTCAGTGCTGAGCCTGGGGCAGCGGCTAGGACCGTGGGAGGATCGTCCTGGGAAGGGAAGACATGGCAAAGAGCATGCCTCTTAAGGAATGCTCCAAGAGGGGCTGGGCAGAGCAGCTCATGGCTCACTTGGTTCCCGCAGTGACTTTGCTGGTGACTGCTGTTCTCCTGCCTGTGGGCTTGTAAGGGACTGCAGAAAGGCCACCCCAGGCACTGAGCTCCAGCACCTCACCAGGCTGCTCTGCAAACCGGTGGCTGAATCACGGGGCGGCCGGGTGCTTCAGGCCACAGCCCGGGGTTGGCTGCGTCGGTGATAGCTCACCACTTATCTGAGGGACCTGCCAGAGCTGCAGCCTTGAGCCCGCTGGCAGCAGAGGACTTTGCTCTACACCGCGTAGCAAGGCAAAGGCCAGAGGGCATGGAATGCAAAGATTAGGACCAGGGCGAGGCAGAGAGGAAAGCTCTGGTGTCCATAGCTGCCTCAGCCCACAGGCTGTGGTTCTGATGTGGAGGTGATGGTGCAGAGTGGAGATGGTCTTGAAGAAAGAGTCCGAGCCCTCGGAGCCCAGGCTGTCAGCCAGTCCTGGTTCTGCTGGTGCAGCTGGAGGGTGGGTACCACCGGTGTCATGGCCCGCTTCCCTGGCTCGGCGGCACCACCACCTTGTCCAGCCAGAGCAGGGTGAGCTGGGCCAAGCGCAGCTGCCGGCGGTGGATGCGGCGCAGCCGCAGGAGGTAGAGGACTATGGCCAGCGCTACGACCAGGATACAGGCAAAGAAGAGATAGTGGTTGTAGACAAAAGAGAGGCGCAGCCAGGAGGCATGCGCTTGCCGGATGCTCTCCTGCCGGAGATCCCTGCAGAGAGGAGTCAGGACTGGCTGTGAGATGCCATGGGGTACTACCAGGGTCCTGCGCTGCTGCTCCCCTTGCCAGGGCAGCAGAGCAGTAACTCCTGCTCCTCCCCAACCACCCTTCCCCGAGTGATGCTATTAGCGAGCCAACGATACCTGAGCGGCAGAAACCGTGTCTTGTAGAGGATGGCTCCCAGCGTCCACTGCACCTCCCGGTCGTACACCAGCTGGGCCGTGTGCAGGCTGGGGTAGTCCAGGGGGAAGCAGAAGCCCTGGTGAAGGACTTGGTACATCCAGGCTGATTTGAAGCACTGATACCTGCAGGCACGGCACACAGGAGCATCAGCCCCATGCTACCACCCACACCACAGTCCCTCACCCCGGCAAGAGCCCCCCCAGCAAAGCCGCTTACTTCAGCCGGTGCTGGTCAGCGTGTGCAGAGTAGAGGCCACCACGGAAGCGCTGGGTCAGCACCTCCCATCGCTGGCTGCAGTACTCCTGGGGGACAGAGAAGTTGGGGCTCAGAGCACAGAAACGGCCCCCACTGCCTCCCAGCCCTGGGAGCGGCAGCACCCACCTGGGCAGCAGAGGTGAAGGTGGAGGCACTGTAGCGGCCACCCAGGCGCAGCACGTCCTCGGTGCAGTAGAAGAACTCAGAGAAGCCGTAAAACTCGCTGTTGCCGAAGTCGATGGGTGCTTTGTAGGCCCCCACCAGGGAGGCCTGGCTGCTGTTGGGCCCGGCCAGGAGGGGCTGCAGCAGCTTCGCGCAGGCCGGCCAGTCCCCTCGCCCCCGCACGTACAGGGTTTGGCCGCCCCTGGCCACCGTGTCCTCCAGCCCCACAGGCAGGCAGGGGTCCAGGAAGGGCATCTCGGGGCTCAGCCCTGTCTGCTGACTGTGCAGGCTGGAAAACAGGCCAAGAAGGAAAGGCAATTGCACAGGGGGTCCTGTAGCACCCCCAAAAGCCTAGTCTAGTGCTTCCACGCACCTGGATACCCCCTGTGCCAGACCAGACTGTGTCCCCTTGTACCCCACGGTGCTGGCACCCGCCCTGCCACCTCCTGCCAAAGCCAAACTCGCCAGATCTGTCACAGTGACCTGCAGCCATGTGCCCCGAGCACCTGCGGGGTGCGACAAGGCACAGCCACCCCCACCCAGCTTGCAGGGATCTGCACCCCTGCAGAGCCCCCAGGGATCTGGAGGCAGGGTTTGCTCCCGGCACGGGAGTACCTGGGCACCAAGCCTCTCCACCTCTGGCGACAGCTTCACGTAGCGCTCTGGGAAGGGAAGGAGAGACAGGAGACAGAGAGCTCGAGGTGGGGATTCGATGGAAAGATGTGCTGAGTGAATCGGTGCTGGAGAAGGAGGGAAAGTTGGAGCAAGAAAAGCCAAAAGCCACCAGAGGGGCCTCCCTGCAGCCTGCTGCGAGGGGAGGAGGAGGAAGGCAGGGAGCTGCGGCACTGACAACACCTGCCGAGCTCGGAGAAGGGCAGCGCCCGTGCACCCTGTGCCAGCCTGGTCATCTGCTGCCGCCAGCATGGCTGTGGGAGCTATTATCACCATGGGTGGCTCTTGGGGCAAATCCAATGGGCACAGGGCAGCGTGAAGGAACCAGCACCCCCATTTTGCAATGCCCCAGCAGGGGGACCGCTAGGTGAGACAGCAATACCGGTTGTGCACATAGGTCTGGTTCAGCACAAGCTCCTCGTAGCGCTGCCGGGCAAAATTGCCCCCGAAGCCCAGGAAGGTGTTGACGTAGACGCGGTACACGTGGCCAGTGTGCTGCACGTCACAGCCCAGGTTGAATTCTGCCAGTAAGCTCTTAGCAGCCTCCTCCTGGGGATGCAGAGAGGTCTGTGATCAGCAGCAACCCAGGGAAGGCAGGGGCTGCTCTTGGGGCCGTCCGGCCACGTACGCACCTGCTGCGGGGAGGAGAAGGCTCCGGAGTCGGGCACTTCATAGGCGATCTGCAGGGAGGCGCCCCCCATGTCTAGGATGCCAACTGTTCGTTTCCGAACCAGGGACTCTCCTTGGTCCCCCAGTGCTACGGTGACCACTGCATCTTCCTCTGAAACCCACAGCAGCATGTCAGCGAGGGGCAGGGCCTGGGGCAGCCTCTCCTCCCTTCCACCATTACCCCCCCTCCAAAGCAGCCTCATGGGGCTCCTCCACCCCTGCAAGCATCCCCTGGGGGTCACCTGCAGGGCAACAGATCCTGGCACTTGGAGCCGGCCACCCCCCAGCTTTCCCCCAAAGTATCCACTGCTGGAATCCACTAGAGCAACACTACTACAAACCCCCTCTCCCTGGTTCTTCTCCCAAAATGCTGCAGGTGTCCCCCTCCCCCATGCAGGGACTCATTCCTGCAACCAGGGCAGGTGCCCCTCCAGGCCCCAGGTCCAGGAGGGTTTTGCACACATGGCTGGGGTCAGGCACTGCCTGGCCAGAGGGGCAGACACTGCCTGCTCCAGAGCTTGCTCTTAGCTCCAGCCCTAGGGCAAGCTCCAGCAGAGCTTTGCTCAGACCCTCCCAGCTGCTCTATGAGCAGCCAGACTCACCGTCCTCGTGATCAAACCGGCCCAGGACAAAGTTGATGCCAATCCAAGCATAGACACCTGCACGAGACAGTGAGGGTTATTACGGCAATACGCTAAAGGGAACCAGACAGTGCTGTGCAACAGCTCCTACCTTCCTGTTTCCCTGAGATCACTTCTGCGTGTGATTTGGAGAAGAGGAAATCAAACTCCAGGGGCACGTTTCTCACTAAGTCATCCAGGATTGCAGCTTGGTGCCTGCAAGGACGCAGGAGAGGGACAGATCCTAAGGGGCCTTCACCAGCGACGCTCCTTTGCAAGAGTGCAAGAGACAGCAGGAACTGCAATACACCCCACGTCCAGCCCTGCTGCTGCACCCAGCATGCCTTGGAGATGAGAAACTAGATCTGTTCGTTTGAGACTTCAAAGCCTCCCTTCTCACCTCCCTCCCAGCGTGCTCCAACCCTCCTTCTGCAGCCCTTGCTGCTTGCTCCTTTCCCAGGTCCCCCCCAGGATTCCTAATTCTCCCATGAGGCTCAAGATGGGATAGCTGTCTTCCCCCTTCTTGTGGCTGAGGGATCCAGCGGGTCTCCGGCTCCCCCCAGCACCGGCCGAC